CCCCCCCCCCCCATTGGTGTCCCTGTCTTTTAATCAACCCCCCCCAACCACCACCATTGGTGCCCATGGCTCTAATAAACCCCCATCCCCCCCACCACCACCATTGGTGTCCATGGCTCTAATCAACCCCAGTGTTGGTGCCATGTGGACGCAATAGTCACCTCCACAATAATTGAATCTGTGGATGGTCCAGTTCTATGTGATTGTCCTTCCTATAGTGTTGAGGTTCAGAGGGGAACAGGGACGAGGGCGGCCAGATGATGTGTAGAGTTTCATACAGTTGTAAAGCAATGGCTGTAAAAAGTCTGCAAGCTTGAAGAAGTTACATTTTGGACTTCATAGAGAAGCCTGCTGCTGGGCATGCACATCCGTACAATGGGCAACACTTAGAGCAATGGTTGTCTAACCTACTAGACATGGAGGCCCTCAAATGTGGGATATGAAGCCGCACAGAGCGCCAGTACCATGGCCGCCCAGGCTCAACGTCCGGAAACGATCATACAACGCCTTTTCTATTTCGGCATTACATACGGCAAGTGGGTGACGATTGACGGACGCCAACTGGAGATGAAGGGCTGTCATGGTCGAGGCGTTCACGGTCCTTGCTGTGTTCCCAGTGCTGTATATTCGTGTACAATGGCGCGGATCCAATCGTCACCTCCACCAATGGTGGCTTAATATGACTTGTATCCTTTCATGTATCACCTGACCAGAGCTCAGATACACGATGATCTCCGGAATATAGGTAAAGGTCTATAGAGATGAACAATGTATAAAGAATGTATATTCCACCGTATATAAAATAGATGGGGGGGCAAGATCCGCTCTCGGATCTCCGGCATGCGTAAAGCCAAGGGATTCGCTTTCTATTGGGGACTTGTGGCGGGCGCACACCTTGCGAATTAGGAGACAGCGTGAGCTCTACCGACGCTGATCTGTTTTCGCCAACATAACCTGCTACTATGCCGTGAATAGCCTTTGTAATTTGATGTTCGCATTTTGAAGCAATTCAGATGGGGCCTGAAAAGTTTTATTTTAAAGGAATATTCCAAATATTCAAAGCGCATGCTTTCCATGTATGGCAAAACAAACGACAAACGCACTCAACAATTTGTTACCAGTTGTACAGTAAGGTGCACACGAAATGGGCTTTAAACAGTAGAACAGTAGAAAGGCATCATGGCACACTCACAAACTAGCATGTAAAACAACTTGTCTCACCACTAAGGACAATGACAAGAGGTTTGGATACACGTCTTCTGCAAAGGATGTGTAAGCCGCACTGCCGCGCCAAGGCACCTCTTATAGTGCGGTCCTAACTCTAAACTATGAGAGTCTCCATCTTGGAGCACATGGGGCAGAAGATATCAAATTGGGTGCAGGCTTGTCAGGAGGACGCCCCACCTCCTTAAAGGTACAGAAACACACAAGGGATCCCGCACATCCCATTGGCAGCTGAGAAACCCCATGCGTCGCTGCTGTTTTGCTTTACCGATTTGGTGCAGCGACGCATGGGGTTTCTCAGCTGCCAATGGGATGTGCGGGATCCCTTGTGTGTTTCTGTACCTTTAAGGAGGTGGGGCGTCCTCCTGACAAGCCTGCACCCAATTTGATATCTTCTGCCCCATGTGCTCCAAGATGGAGACTCTCATAGTTTAGAGTTAGGACCGCACTATAAGAGGTGCCTTGGCGCGGCAGTGCGGCTTACACATCCTTTGCAGAAGACGTGTATCCAAACCTCTTGTCATTGTCCTTAGTGGTGAGACAAGTTGTTTTACATGCTAGTTTGTGAGTGTGCCATGATGCCTTTCTGCTGTTCTGCTTTCCATGTATGACGCTTCCTTTTCTTTCCAGGCGAGCCATGAAGAGGAATTTGCGCCTCAATTGTCCTTTCCAGAATTCCTGCGTCATTAACCGAAACAACCGACGTCACTGCCAGGCCTGCCGACTGAAGAAGTGCCTGGACATTGGGATGAAGAAGGAATGTGAGTGGGGTGGAGGAGGGCTAAAGAGCAGCAGGAGGAGGGAGGACTGCTTTGGGAAGAATTTAAAATGTTGTCTGTGGCCCCACTAGGGAGATTTACTGTTCCCCCTCATTAATGTGTGTCTCTGCCCCTCCCACAATGGTGAGATTTCCTCCAGTAGGTTGTGTCTCTGCCCCTCCCACAATGGTGAGATTTCTCCCAGTAGTTTGTGTCTCTGTCCCTCCCACAATGGTGAGATTTGCTCCAGTAGTTCCGTCTCGGCCCCTCCCACAATGGGGAGATTTCCTCCAGTAGTTTGTGTCTCTGCCCCTCCCACAATGATGAGATTCCCCCCAGTAGTTTGTCTCTGCCCCTCCCACAATAGTGAGATTTCCTCCAGTAGTTTGTGTCTCTGCCCCTCCCACAATGATGAGATTCCCCCCAGTAGTTTGTCTCTGCCCCTCCCACAATAGTGAGATTTCCTCCAGTAGTTTGTGTCTCTGCCCCTCCCACAATGATGAGATTCCCCCCAGTAGTTTGTCTCTGCCCCTCCCACAATAGTGAGATTTCCTCCAGTAGTTTGTGTCTCTGCCCCTCCCACAATGATGAGATTCCCCCCAGTAGTTTGTCTCTGCCCCTCCCACAATAGTGAGATTTCCTCCAGTAGTTTGTGTCTCTGCCCCTCCCACAATGATGAGATTCCCCCCAGTAGTTTGTCTCTGCCCCTCCCACAATAGTGAGATTTCCTCCAGTAGTTTGTGTCTCTGCCCCTCCCACAATGATGAGATTCCCCCCAGTAGTTTGTCTCTGCCCCTCCCACAATAGTGAGATTTCCTCCAGTAGTTTGTGTCTCTGCCCCTCCCACAATGATGAGATTCCCCCCAGTAGTTTGTCTCTGCCCCTCCCACAATAGTGAGATTTCCTCCAGTAGTTTGTGTCTCTGCCCCTCCCACAATGATGAGATTCCCCCCAGTAGTTTGTCTCTGCCCCTCCCACAATAGTGAGATTTCCTCCAGTAGTTTGTGTCTCTGCCCCTCCCACAATGATGAGATTCCCCCCAGTAGTTTGTCTCTGCCCCTCCCACAATAGTGAGATTTCCTCCAGTAGTTTGTGTCTCTGCCCCTCCCACAATGATGAGATTCCCCCCAGTAGTTTGTCTCTGCCCCTCCCACAATAGTGAGATTTCCTCCAGTAGTTTGTGTCTCTGCCCCTCCCACAATGATGAGATTCCCCCCAGTAGTTTGTCTCTGCCCCTCCCACAATAGTGAGATTTCCTCCAGTAGTTTGTGTCTCTGCCCCTCCCACAATGATGAGATTCCCCCCAGTAGTTTGTCTCTGCCCCTCCCACAATAGTGAGATTTCCTCCAGTAGTTTGTGTCTCTGCCCCTCCCACAATGGGGAGATTTCCTCCAGTAGTTTGTGTCTCTGCCCCTCCCACAATGGTGAGATTTCTCCCAGTAGTTTGTGTCTCTGTCCCTCCCACAATGGTGAGATTTGCTCCAGTAGTTCCGTCTCGGCCCCTCCCACAATGGTGAGATTTCCTCCAGTAGTTTGTGTCTCTGCCCCTCCCACAATGGTGAGATTTCCTCCAGTAGTTTGTGTCTCTGCCCCTCCCACAATGGTGAGATTTCCTCTAGTTGTTTGTGTCTCTGCCCCTCCCACAATGGTGAGATTTCCTCTAGTTGTTTGTGTCTCTGCCCCTCCCACAACGGTGACATTTCCTCCAGTAGTTCCGTCTCGGCCCCTCCCACAATGGTGACATTTCCTCCAGTTGTTTGCGTCTCGGCGTTGTCACACTCGTATTTTCCTTGCAGTGATCATGTCGGACGAGGCGGTGAAGCTGCGGCGGACGCTCCTTAAGGAGAAGCAGAGATTGGGGCCTTTGCCGGCCATGTCCCCCACCCCCACCATGACGGAGGAGCAGCGGTCGCTGGTCGAGCAGCTCGCCGAGGCGCAGAGGAAGACCTTCGACTCCGACTTCGTCTTTTTCAACAATTTTCGGGTACGCGCTGCCTGGGGTCATGTGATGGCGATAGAAGGGGAGGGTGGGAACGCTGACTTATTTCCTGTACCGGTTCCGGGGCTGTCATCCTCCTCCTGGACTCTCGCTGCGTTGTCACCCGCCGACCTGGAACAAGCCGCGGAGTCCGGAATGTCAGAACTTGTCCTCCATGTTTGTTCCAGGTCAGCAGGATGAGGATGACGGCTCTGGATCAGGAACCTCGGCAATCTCCGTCCCTTTGTTACCAAACCAGTCGCAATGTAACAATCACTGAGACAGGAAGTGATGGGAATCCACAGCTTTACGGTTGTCACCAGAACAGGAAGTAAGGGGGTTAGGGTCCCATTTATGACGTCACAAATGTTCTCTCTCCCAGCCAGTCAGACGGCAAGTGGACCCCACAGACTTCTCTCAGGATACCGGATCCGGCGTCTTCTCCATGTTACCTCACATCTCCGACCTCGTCACCTATATGATTGAGGGAGTCATCGGCTTCGCCAAAATCCTCCCTCATTTCAGGTAATGCCGAGCAACACTGCGGTATATGTCAGAGCTATATATGAATAGTGTGTGACTGTGGGGGAGGGGACATTAGAGTGTAAGCTCCTCTGTACAGAGTCTGATGTGACTGTGG